TATGTTCTCCCCCTCTAATTGCAGAAAAATATTTTCCTTCTCTAGGAGTGTACATACTAAGGTTTTCTGACTGGCTAACTGGATATATTAAGCACTGAGAATTATAACTAATGTGGTTTTCTGTGGTTTTCACTCCTTGAATGTGCCTTAAAACTATTGTTCAACAACTGAACTTTCAAATTAAGTAATCAAAAATGCTGAGATTCTTTGAACCTTTAAATGAAGCTGACAAATTTTTTTTTTTAAGGCAAAAACTTCCTATTGGGTTTTTTAGGGAATATTGATGTCCGTCTTGCAGAATAAAGGGCTCATTTGTTGTGTGGGGTTTAAGGAATTTGAAAATGAGTTGTCAGTAACTGTGTAGGGCATTTGTAAAGAGGATCCTTTAGAGAGCAGGAAGCTCCTAATTTTTAAGAGCATGATGTTGTTTTTCAGAGATTGGAAAGGACCTTGATACCTAGATGCAAGAAATCTGAGCTGTGGCATGTGTTGACATGAATTATTAAAAATAAGAGTAAAAATGGACACTTTAGCAAGCCATCTTTTGTATTTTTGTACCTAGCTTCCCATTTTAAAATGAAAAAGCTTCCTCTCCTTCTCTGCAGGGTAAAACTCTTCTTTTTCCATTGGAGGAAACAGTGTGTGTCCTGGGAATGGGCACTGATAGTAAACACCATGGTGTCATGCTAAAGCAAAATGATGGGAGCTGCTTCTCTCCTGACTGTTGTTTTTGCCATATTGATGGTTGCCTAGAGAGGCAAAGGGGAAGTGAAACAAAAGAAGGCTTCGTAACAGTTGTATGTAGACATCTTTATCAATATGAAGAAAGAAATCTAATGCTCCATGGTAATATTAAGTCAGTGCTGAGAATTGGCCAGAACTCTGGGACTCCCGGCTCCAGCTTGGAAGGCAGGAAGCCAGAAGAGCTCTGGCAAGTGTTCTGCTCTGTGGGCTCCAGTGCCCCAGGTTGTTCAGTTGTGCCTTTACCAGATTTACGGTCCTTACATTGCTTTGCTTTTCAAGTCTGATGTTATGTACAGCAGCCTAGAAAAAGATCTAGGGGAGTAATGCCTTTGCTTTCTTACAGCAGCTTGCAGCAACACGGATTTTTCCACAATAGAAAAAGGATGTTAAAAAACCAACACTTTCTATGAAGCACTGTAAAAAAAGTTGTACATGCCTTCTGTGTGCTGGTGAACAGGTTTGTGGCATCAGTTTCTCCTCTCAGTGCCTTGGCTTCTGCTTAACACTGGGGTTTTTAAATGTATTTGCATTTGAAAATTGGTACTAGTATGGCCTAATGTGATATGCTTAGGAAGAGATTTACTCTTGGAGGATACAAGATAAGTGATTAATACATTTTTCTAGATGCCTGTAAGTTTTCTGATAGAATCTGAACTAAAGGCTTGCAGCTTACAGAGCCGGAGATGGTTTAGAACTGGCTTTGTGAAATGCATTTGGTATCACAGCTGTTGAGATTAGCTGAATTTCTTGCTAATCTGTTTCTCAGGGTGATTTAAAGGCAGGGATTTTATTTGGTTGGCTTTGCTTGTTTTTTTTTGTTTGGTGAGGGTTTTGTGGTTTGTGTTTTTTGGTTGGTTTTTGGTCTTGTTTAGTTTTTTAGGTAATCCTTTAATTTGCATTTCAAGCCACTTATTGTATTAGCCTTTGAACTCCATTATTTTCCTCTCTGCAAGACTGCTGAGTCCTTATGTCCATGACTGTGCTGTAATTTTTAATTACATAGAAAGCCAGAACATTGATTATCTCCTAATGTATTTTAAATAATTAAACAACAACAAAAACACATTACTTGTCCACTGTTCTTCTAAATTGTGTTTCTTCCCATAGTGCTTGGATGTTGCACATCAGCTTTGAGTTTTGTTTGTTTGGCTTTTCTGTAGTTTAAAAAAAACTTAAATATGCCAAATAAAAGTTTTTGTGGTAATGAGACAAGTTGATCAAGGTAACTGTGTAAGTTATGGAGTGTATAGAGGCCATAGAGCTGACCAGGTGGTTGACTTGGCATGGGCCAGATTCTGAAAGAATTGGAAGCATTTTGCTCCAGGAAAAGGAATCCCTTTTTGTTTCTTTTGTGTTAAATGGGATGTGCATGACCTCTTTCTCCTGTAAAAATGTCCTTGTGTTCTACTACCAAGTGACTGCAAAGCTTTAATCAGTTATTATTGAGGCTGTTGTCTTTATGAAAGAAGCTGGAAGTTACAAGAATACTCTCACTTCACAGCCAGTGTGTAAAAATATATTTTACAAATTTGTGTTACCTAAAGATGGTGCTTTAGTCCTGAGCCTCTTGCCTCGCTTGTCGATACCACACCAAGTGTTGTCCTTGGTTACCATACAACAAACTTGTGCTTTCTTACAGTAGCTTGCAGTGACTCTCTGATCTTGTCTTGCTAATGAAGGTGATGTCTCTGTTCAGATCTGTTCTTGTAGAAACAGTTGCTAAAACAAGATCTCTGCCGTGCATTATGTTGTCCTTCTGTTTTGTAGTTGTGCATCTCTCATCATCTTTCTTTTTGCTCTGTTGTTCTGCTTTCCAGAGCTGTTATCTGAAGTCTCAGCTTATTTGCTTTGTCAGTGGACAAGCAATGTCTTCCTACACTTAGTGTGTTAATTGGAATGTTCTTGCTTTCTTGCTGATGTGTTTCTGTCTATTGAGAAGTTTCCTTTCTCTGTAGGAAGACTGGGTTTTTGATTCGTCACTTGCTCGAGGTTTATTGTTGCTGACTAAATTCAGTAACTGGAACATGTTGAGCTTCTATTTACAGTTACTAGAATTGAGAAGATACATCTTTGTTGGATGAGACTTCTTCAAGGTTTATTTCCTGTTTGTGGAGTCTAAGCACTGATTACAGAGGGTCCTTGAAATCGTTCTCTGTGGGACACTTAGGGCAAATTACTCCTCGTGTAAGACAGATTGCAGACTGACAGGTGTACAAGAACAGGGTCAAACAGAACTAAGTTGCCACTTGGTTTTTTCTAGATGCTGTGTGGCATCTGTGATGTTTCTTCTGGAAAGGGAAAACTTTAGTTGTTGCTGAAATTAGATGATTGTTGCCTGCTAGATGAACATTTTTTGTTTAATTAATGTGGATTTTTTTTAAGCATCAAGGGAATTTTCAAAGGTGACTTCTTGCTCTCTGACTGCAATAACCCCTCAAGAACTGTACTGTAGCTGTTTGCCTCTCGGTGTTACTCCTCAGGAAAACTGGTTCCTGCATTGCAGATGATGCTTTTAAGGCTTTTCCTGTGATCACTCTGTGCAGGGATGTGGTCGCACCTTTCCCTGGACTCAGAGCACCTGCTCCAGGTTAAATAAGGCACTGGTCTGTGATGTTTTCAGCTATGTAGCTGGAAGTTTTGGAGGGTTTGGTGATTTTTTGATCCTACTCCTCCTCCCTCTTTGAGCTTCAAAGTAATCTAGGTCCTGTTAAAGGCTTTTGATGCTCAAACATTTTTAAGAGTAGATATCTTTCATAGCTATATCAGTCCATCAGTTCTGGTTTTTAACTACAGAATCCTCTTAAACAAATTTTGATTGCCTGAAGAGGAATGAGAGCAGTTAGAGCTTTTTCTGACTTAAATGGCTACTGACTATCACCCAAAAGGGGAGGAAGGAGACAACTTTTACTGTAAGTACCACAGATATATTTTTAATGCTTTCTCCTGGAAATCTCTGGCAGTTGTTATGGTAGGCTCTGTTTGGAGCTTGCATATGTTTTAAATTAAATATATAAAAATAGATGTTACAAGGACACGTTATCTTTAGTACTTAGTGTTCTGCAGATGAAAAAAATCTCAGCCTTTTGCTGTACATAATTTTAGTGTGTAACTAAAGAATGCTGAAAACATGAAAAATGAAAACAAAGCCCAAGCCGAAAATTTTACTGGAAATGGAAACTGTTGAAAAAATGGTGATCTGGGTGTTTGCTGTTAGAACTCCAGGACTTTGGGGAAATCCAATTTCTTTTCCCAAAGAGCTTCAAAATAATTATGGAACTATCAGAAGCTTCTGATTTCCCAAGTGACAGACCTTGGTAGCCCCTAGAGGTTGTGAGAACCGATTCTTTCTATGAATGTTGTGCTCATATAGAAGTGTAGAGCACATTGGAGAGCATGCAGGTTGGGACCTGTAATTCTGTGGGTTTATTCTATGATTCTGTGGTTCCAATCTCACGCCAATTAATCCAATTAAATAATTTTGAGCTAAGGTAAACTGCAATGAACTGTTGTCTCTGCTGTCTCTTAAAACACTTGCTCTTATTTTCACTTGAAGTAGCTATTCTGTCTGTGATTTTTGTACTTTCTGTGAGCTACATTGAATGAGGGAAAGCTTTCACTGTAGTTCCCATAGCATAAAAAAGGAAGTTTGTTCATGTAAGTTATAGGGATGTTCCAGGCACTGCCTGTCCTGCTTTACTGATGATCACTGATCATGTATCATCCTGGTTTTATTAAATATTTCATTTTCTTGGCATGAAAAGATAAAAGGGCAGTTTTCTGTAACACATTTGACAGTACTGGGCTTATGCATATGTGAGTATAATGGAGATGGAATTCAGGTGGGTGAGAGATTCTGCCTGTCCCCACAGTAAAGAGGTAATTTCTGCACACCCAATGTTTAATCATGCCTTGTGGAATGGGCACTCTGGAACAAGTGATTCTGCTTGTGGCTTACATACCCTGAGAGAACAAGAAAAGCTGGCATGTGGATACTCGGTCTCAGCAGAGGAATGTATCTGTAGGAGGGAATGCAGTGAGCTTGTGTGCTGCTCTCTGTACAGAGATTTAAATTAAAACCAGCAATCTTGCATCCCCCTGATACTTCCATTGTAGACCATCAAGCTACAGAGTTTTGTCTTCTTGCCAGAGTGAATGTTAAATATAGTGTTTGTACAGAAATGCTTTTCTTATAAAGATGTGCTTTGAAGAGACTGAAGATGATGAGAACTGAAGTCACATACTCAAACTGATTTAGGTTTTATTTATTTCCCTCTTCCTTAGGCTACAGTTCTGCATGAGTCATTTTTCATGGAATGAAGTTGCAGTTGCCACCATGGCAACCGTGGAGTTGGGGTTAAAGTAGAGAAGTCTTTGGAGGAGAGGAATTAATATAAATTTATAAGATATTGCTTGCATAAATAACAGAAAACAGTAGTATTTATACCCTCTTACAGCACAGTTATCTAGAATAATACATACAGCAATGCTATACACAGACTCGGCCGCAGTCCCACTATACGTAGCTGACTTGTTCTTCTGTTTTATCGACTTCGTTCTCGGTGAGCAGCAGGGTGTCCAGCAGAATGGCCGATGATGCCTGGATGGGTGAGCTCCTCAGCCTCATTGGGCTCTGGTACATAATGGGGTTAATCCCGTTTCTCATCCCATTCATGACAAAGAGCTTGGAATTTTCTGCCACAGAGCTTCTAAAAGAGATCCTGCTGGAGCGCTTCCGCAGGGCCTTGATAGGCTTTGTGGTCCGATAGTTGCAAGTGATATACCTACTGAAAGCCTCCCTAAATGTTTTGTTGAAGAGCGTATATACAAGAGGATTCACTCCCGAGGATACATATCCTATCCAAACAAATATCTCCAAAAGCTTTTGGAAAAGCTCCTTGTTGCAGGAGTTGCACAGAACTGAACTTATGTTTGTTATGAAAAATGGGCACCACATTAACAGGAAAAGAAAAAATACAATCCCCAGGACTTTTGATGCCCTTTGCTCGTTGGTTATGGTTTGCATGGACTTCCTCCCTATTGTAGATGTCCTGCAGAGAGGCATATCACTGGACAAGGTCTGGTCCTTCCTGGAGCCATTTAGCATGGCCACCTTCTCTGGTGAGGAGGCGGGTGTCGTGTCACGCTGGAACACTGTGGACACCGTTGACCAAGTGAAACGCTGGGGCGGTTTGTTGATCAAATAGGCCTTCTTGCGCAGCACTTGGATTGTCAGAAAATAGGTGACAATCATGATAGCGAGGGGGATGAAGAAAGCAGCCACTGAGCCGTACAGAATGAAGTCATGAAAACGATCAGGCGTCAGGAGACACGTGATGTTTGTGGAGTTGCTGTTTCCATCTTCAATGCCTCTGATAGGGACGGGGATTGCAATGCCTACGGGAGAAAAAACAAGTACTTCAGCATGTGGTAATGGCTTGCAATCTCTTCATTGGGTCTGGAGCCTCGGGGTTTTTAAAGGAAGGTAATTCCTGAGCTCTGGAGCAGGCACAGGGGGACAGACACCATGTGAGTTGCTGAGAGCATCACGTGGGTAATTGGGCAAACAGTACTTGTAAGACTTGGCAAGCCAAGCTTTAAGAGTGCCCTTTCTAAGGACATTGGGCCTAACCCTTAGCGATTGAGGAAGTGGTATAAAGTTGCCAACTTTTCAAGTGTAAAACACATGAATTGCTTTGACTCTAGTTGTTAGAATTAGTATGGCTTTTTCCTCCAGTAAAATCTGTTTCCCTAATGCCATCTGCTATTTTTTTTTTTCCTCCAGGGTAACCTTTGCACTTTTTGAAGGGCAGTTTTGTAAACACATAAATCTTGTCTTTCCCTCTTAAATTAAACGAGTGACTGGACACAGACAGCTGATTTTTTTTCACTCTGCTTGACTCTTTCATATATACAAGTAGTTAAATAGTTGCCAGAATTATGCAGTATATGTTTGAGATGGATTTGTTGTTTAAAGTCTCCTGCATATTTAGGAGTGTTTAAATGAGGATGGCTAGCTCTGTAATTCACCACTCGTTTAAAAAAATGTTAGCAGTCTTGTCTTTTAAATGAATTTTTTATAACCACTAAATTACAGTCAGCACTTCATTTGCCAGCAGTCTGACATTACAACAAAAACAACAGGTTCCTTGCTGTCTGGTGAAGGTTATTTGTGCTGTTTTCTGATACCACTTAATGAGATCTAGGGATTTACTGTATTCCTCTGCTGCTCTGCTTACCGAAGTTTGTTGAAGGCAATGAGAAAAATGGGTTACCCTTCAGCATCTTGATCCCTTTCTCAATTAGAGGCACACCTTCAGATACAGGAAACATTTAAAATGAGGATTGAACCAAATTAACCTTTGATTTGGAGAAACTGGCTCAGCTGCAGAGCAGTTTTGTGTTAGATAAAAAGAAATTGAAAAGTACAGCAGTGGTTAATGGCAATAAATCAGGCATTAAAAGGTCAACTCATAAGTGTCTTGTCATACTAAGTTTTTTTTTTTCATTTTTTTTTTTTAAGTCAGAAATTTTGGGTGGATGTACCTATTCTCTTATGCATCATTGGCCTTAATAATGAGAATAATTTTGTTTTCTCTTGCTCACAGAGCATACAGCACTATAGCTGCCTGCAGAGTGCATGAAGTTATTTGAATTAAGTGTTATCACATTTGGCAGATTTATTGTTTCAAGCATTAAAGACATGTACATATACATGCATGTACATCACAGAGATGCTAGTATCATAAAGGTTTGTACATTGTTATCCTTTATATAAACTGTTGAGTGTTTGTTGTTTGGTTTTTTTTTTTTGTTAGATAATAACCTTTTTATATGCTGTATTGGCAGTGGGGATGTTCCCAGCCAGTGATTTAGCCTTCAGTCTTTGGTATAAGTAATTAAAACCTTTCTGTACTTGTTTCATGGGGCAATTTTAGGCACAGATTTTACCAGCATCTAATCAAGGCTTAAAACTGTGTTTGGGACAGAATACATCACCACAGGAACATGAGTCTTGCTTTCCTGGGAGACCTGCTGTGCATGTGGATATAGTCTTCTGATTTTGGGACTTTTAGGACCATGAAGAAAAGTGATGATCATCCTGACTCAATCCTTGGCCATTGAGTGGCAAGCCTTATAAGGTGCAGCAGTTCAGGCAGATTTTTGTGATGTATCTATGTATGATCCAAGAGGTGGATTTAGGCCAGCCTGGGTGTTGGGGTCCACTAATCAATAACACTTGACTAAATTTTCCATTTTGCCCAGTTTTCACCTATTGCTTTAGACATGAAAAGCTTCTGTGTTCCTTTTGCAGTCTCCAAGTCTCACATACCTATTGAAATGAGCCAAACCACGATGATTTTGATGATTGTTGTAGCCCATGAATTGTACTGACTAGCCTGGATTGGCTTTTTTATCGCAATGTAGCGGTCTAGTGAGATGGCACAGAGGTGCATGATGGAAGCTGTGGAAAAGAGGACATCAAGGAACAGCCAGATAGGACACAAGGCAGTTGGTAAAGGCCAGGTATTGTCTGAAAGAGAACAGAAAACTCATTAGAATCTGAGCTTTTTGAGAATTTTCAGTGTGTGATTTTCCTGTGGCATCAGTGCCTTGGAGAGGTTCATAGGACTACAGGAACTGAGCTTTGCCCCTGCCTCAGCTGGATTCTGTCTTACATTTTAGTTAACTCTTAACTGCCAGGGTTGCTGCTGTTGTATTGATTGTATTGATCATCGTATTGCCTTTCCCTGTCTTTTTGTCCCTTTTAGATCAGAAGTTCTTTGTGGCAAGGGCTCTGGATTAAAAGGTTTATGAAAAATGGGCCAGGAGTGTTTAATTCTTGCCTGCCCGCTGCTAAATGATTATTTTCAACTGTTTCTCCTTGATAGTCCTATGATTCAAGGTTTTATTAAATGGAGAAGATCATGGGTCATAACCAGTGTAATGGTCAGTCATTGTAAAATCGTGGTTGAACCTGAGTGGTGATTTTGAAGAGTCTGGTTCACACAGTTTTAAAATGAGTTTGCTGTGTCACTTGAGCAGATACAGTTGAGCACTAAAGTGGCAAAGCAGGGCTGTTCTGTCTCAGTAATGATTTTATAAAAATTGAATGCTTTCATGAGAGTCCTTTTTTTTTTCCTCCCCCAAGAGGAATGGCTTGGATTTTAGGTCTGGCATCCTGTTTCTTATGGTAGTTATCTGTCTTTAATGTTAATCTTCGTAGCAAACATAGGGTCTGTCAACTGCATTGTGTCCAAGGTAAAGGTTTCGTAGTGTTCAGCTTTTCCGAAAGGATCATTTTTTTGAGAGCTGTGTCTCCTCTGGCAGTGTCTACAATACCAAATGAACTTAATGATTTTTAATTGGTTTATTTTCACTAGTTTGTCTTGCAATCCAGTGCTAGCAGTGTTCAGTTTGGTGTGCACTTCAGTGCTGTGTGTCTATAAGGATGTTCTGTAGTCCTCAGGAACAATGTGTGAACAAGGAAGATTTTTCTGGTTTTAATGGTAGAAGTTGATCTACTAGATATATTCTCCTCCCTTATAAAATTCAACCATGCTCAGTCAGTGGGCACATTAATAGTATAGCCAGAGAAATCAGTTCTTTGTTGAATGGTCATGAAAGGGGGAAAAAAAAGACATTTCTAATAAATCAGATTGGTTTTAATTTCCTTGCTTGGAATAAATAGATCTGCATGCTCAGAGTGCCAAATGAGCTGGACTTTTATAATGTCCAGCCTTATCAGTGTGGTAACACTGCAGTAGTTTGAGATTAAAACATTTTTTCACAATGTGACTGATAGATATTATAGTGGTGTTGCCTTGGCTTGAATTATAAGCTCCAGAGTATGGAAGATTATAAGGACACACATAACAAGTACTTGTCTGCACTGGTACCTACACTGGGACACCTTCTGTGTTAAACAAAGGGAAGGGACAGAAGGAGCCCTGAACTGATCTCAGCTATCCCAAAGCACAAGACTTGGGCTGAGGATGACGTAGGCAGTGAGGCAGAAGGTAAAGAAGCAGTCTGTTTTCAATTTCTTAACCAGGTAGATTTTGGTACCTACCATACCTATTTCCTAAAAATAGATTTAGTAGTTGAAATTATGCTTCAGAAAAATTACTCTTGTCAGGCAGGTATGAGAAAGTGGTAATTAGTATATTAGGATAGCTTACTCATCTTTAATTTTGGTGTCTGCACTTTAAACTGACAGTAAGGTGTGGTGCATTTCTGAAATGGATTTCCTTTAAAAAGGAAAGCCAAAATGTATTCTGGCTCATGTAACCAGCTCTAATAATAATAATAAAAAAAAGAAACCGTTAAAAGAAATAACTGATTTGATGGGCTTGAAATGTTTTTGCTCACTCCAGAAAGTTAAGACAACAACTTCTGACTTTGTGATGAAGGATTAGTTAAGATAAAGTATGAACAATGGGAATTGTGGTGTACAACTTGAAGGATGGCAGATAACACAGATGGACTTCAAGTGAGCAGCTAATACTTCTTTTGGAGAGTACGTGCATGTCACTCCCTGGATTAAAACTGTTTTGTGTTCTGGAGAACCACATTGTGATAAATTCTTTCATTTTTTATTTAATTTACTGTTTGCAGAAGAAAACCCTCAAATGCTTTGCAACAAAAGGCCCTTTTCCTTCATTTAAATATAGTTACATTTAAACACTGCTCCAGTGCAAAGCAATCCTGTATGTTTCTGACCTGTAAGATCTTTTGTGAGTTGCCAAGTGCAACTGAGCAGAGAAACATTTATATTTTATTTACTTTTGTCTAGTTTTGATCCAGGTGCTGAAGGCAGTAAGTTACCACCTTCATGATTATGGCATTATGTCCTACTATATTTGCATGTACAAGATGATGTTTTTTTCCATACAAAATCAAAGTAGACTTTAAATGCAGTAGCTGATAAGAACTGGTAAGTTCTGGTAAGGAGTGAAGAGTATGGTTATTATTTAAATGAAACACATATCATGAAACTGATACTTCAAAGTCCAGAAAAGTCACATAATTGTCTAGGATTCATTCTGAGGTGTACTTTGCTATAGCTTACTTTGATTTGTTGGTTACACCTGTGTTAGAAACTCTGTGCCTGGTGTTTGAGGGACTGCTCTGGGCTGAGTTACTGTGCTTTCCTGGTGTTGGTGTCTATTACAGTTTGCTTGGAAATGGGGAAAAGATGGAATAATAATTTCCCTTTAGGACTCAGAAAGCATCTCTGACCCTTGAATGTGATGGTGACCTGCTTGGTTGTTGTCCTGCTTTATAACTCAGAAGGTAAAATGAGTGTGTCCTGAGTTCTAATTCTCCTATATAGATCCACATTGTCAGAGCATTTACTGGGCTGACTGAGATTCTCCAACCCTGAGATTCTCTTTGGAATTGAAATGCTGATGTAAAGAAGCTAGGTAGGGGATTGGATTTTTTAAAACTTACTTTTAAATGCCTTGGTTACCCAATAAATGTACCTGCCTGAAAACTTGTCTGGTTTCTCCAGTTGTCAGGTGGTATAAGTTAAAAAGAAATTCTTTCTTTCTACAAACCTTGCCTCATATCCTCCAAGCACTTCAACAGTGCTGCTGTTGCAGATTTTCCTTATTTTGAGTCAAAACAAGATAGAATACATGCTGTAAGATTTGCCTTGCACCTTCAGAGAAATAAGATGAGCTTTTACTGCAGCTGTCTACCCTTGATTAATCTTTATTTAAGAAAAACTTTATTTATAGGAAATACCTTAGAAATGTGTAATCCTTAAAACAAAGTACAGTGTAGAAGAGCTGTTCTTGCTGTAAGCCAAAAGGTTTTTGGAAAGCTTGAGAGAAAGTACTACTTGTGTACATGTATAAGCATGATTAAGAGAGCTCTTTAAATAGACTTAGAAACCGTTTGTTCTGCTGTAAGGGCTGCAGAAATGTGTTACCTGTAAAGAAAGGGCTGTGTTGCTGTTAAAGAATAATGCTTTTGCTGAGATGGAAATGGATGCTTTCAGCCACCAGCTCATTTAATCCTAAACTTCAGCCTTCACATTGGGGGTGTGTGTGTCTGTAGCTGTGTGTGGTGTTCACACTCATGTCACTGCTGGGCTCTGTGGGTTGCCAAGGCTTTGTGTCTCCAGGCTGGTCTCTAGTTTTTTTAATTTAACCAAAGTGATACTTTGGGTTTTTTTAATTATACTTGCTTTCTGAGAAATAAACCTTTGTTTTCTTACTTATTGTCACTTATCTTTAGATTTGAGATTTTGGACAGTAGCCATTGATTAAAGTAGTTTCCTCTGGTAGTTTGCACAAGCAAGAAGGGAAGATTTGTTGTCGTGGTTCATCATCAGTAATGGGGGAAGATGAAGGCAGTGATTGCTTGTGATAGATTAAAATAATGGTTTGCAGCCTAGGATGAGCAGCATTACCTTCTGATTTTAAGTGGATGACTATCAGGAGTAGAGAATATATTTTAAAATATGGTACATGTACTATCTCCAAGTAATCCCTTGCCCACCAAGCCATGGACATCAGACTTCTTCCTGGTGCAGGCTTTGCAAATGGGAGGATCTCTCAAGTTTATTTGCTAATTTCACTATCCAGTGAATAGCAACATTTTTGCTTTCCTTGTGTAGTTCTGAATGTTAGAAATTTGGGTAACTGTTTTGAAAGCTGGATTTCAGAGAATGAAATTATCTACTAGTGTGGGCCCTCCCTTTTTTGGTGGCTTGCTTTTTTTTTTTTTTTTTTTTTTTTTTTTTTTTTTTTTTTTTTTTTTTTTTTTTTTTTTTTTTTTTTTTTTTTTTTTTTTTTTTTTTTTTTTTTTTTTTTTTTTTTTTTTTTTTTTTTTTTTTTTTTTTTTTTTTTTTTTTTTTTTTTTTTTTTTTTTTTTTTTTTTTTTTTT